CACAGTAAAATCCTGAGTGTTAAATTAACACTGCTCGGAGCATATTTGGTCCCACTGTACAAGAGTGTTAAAGATGAGATAATTATGTTTAAGTGCTGATTGAGCATTAGTGATGAACACCTGCTGTTAATAAACAGAATCATTGAATGAAAGCGAAACACAAGAACTACATCTGACTTCAGTCACAGCCTTAGATGAAATCAACTGAAATAAAAGATTAAATCTCTCAAGATCTCAGCAGAAGATAACTAATCATCTCCACAAACAATATCACCAGCTTCACACATTAATAACCAGTTTGACTTTATTTCTGGAGTATCTAAAACAGAAGTTCTTTATAGAGAATTAAAGAGGTTATATGATGCGATTCATTTTTTTCTTTCTCTTTGGAGTGTTAATTGAATGAAAGCGAAACACAAGAACTATATCTGACTTCAGTCACAGCCTTAGATGAAATCAACTGAAATAAGATTAAATCTCTCAAGATCTCAGCAGAAGATAACTAATCATCTCCACAAACAATATCACCAGCTTCACACATTAATAACCAGTTTGACTTTATTTCTGGAGTATCTAAAACAGAAGTTCTTTATAGAGAATTAAAGAGGTTATATGATGCGATTCATTTTTTTCTTTCTCTTTGGAGTGTTACAAGCTCTTGGTGCATAAAGAAGATCTGTAAAGTTGCAAAGACTGAAGTCTCAAATCCAAAGAGATATTCTTTATAAAAGTTAAGAGTCTACCACACCTACCTAAAACAGCTCGTTCTAACACGCCCCCACATATCTACCTCACTATGTGGGAAGATTTGCATAACGCCTCCCAAATGTTCACGCAAAGAAAGAAGGCGTAACTTTTATTCTCGCTGTAGTATTGTTGCTGCCGCCGCCATATCCTGAAGACGCTGTGTGCTTCATTGTGAAAGCAAAACTACTTTGTTTGGTCTTCCAAAAGAAGACAATATCTGCTTCGTCATGTCTAGAGCTGATCCGTGCTGCTCGCTGAGGAAATACATCAACTTTGCGCTGTGGATCGCCGGATCGGCTTTCACCGTGGACGAAGCGGAGTCCAGCCCGGGGTCGTCACATGTGGTTGCCGCAAGTAGCGCTTGTTGTTTGTCATTTCTTCGATCACAAAAGCAGACATGGTTATATGTTTAAGCGGTGTGATGCAACGCAACGCGTAAAAAGACAGTATAAGTATTATAATATAATATTATAATCCGTAATTATGTCCCCACTGGATGCAACAAATGCCTCGTTTATAATGGGTTTTAATGTTTTTGTTTAACCTTAAACCGCATAAACACATTTCATTACACCGAATACACAAAACAATGTTCTTTTTAGCAGCATCATATGACCCTTTTAAGGTTTAGATTTTGTTGTTGTTGTTTTTTTTCTTTCAATTTACCGTTTTGATGAATAGTGTTTGCTTTAGTTGGGCTCTTGACCCATGACTTTTTAATATAAGTTTCTCTTTGGCTGTTATAATTGTGTTTATAAAGCACAT